GTGAAATTTCGGCTTGCTCTTCGTATTTGGTACTATCTAGGGAAATTTCATTCTGTTCTACAGGGCTGGTACTATCAAGTGAACTGTCGAGCTGCTCTACGGATAATGATAAAATTTCTGCACAGTCAAGTGATGGATCTATAAGTTCTGTTGACGAAGTTTGTATTTCATCGTAAGAATGTTTTTTCATTTCTTTCATCTTTTTTGACTTTTTTGTTGCTTTATGTTTGTTTGATTTATTTTTTGTCTTCATTTTGGGTAGTTTGCTTGGTGATTCTTCATATTTAATTGACTCCCTTTCCGATAACTTTCTTTTTGTATTAATTTCATCTTTCTTATTGCCTTTTTTATCTTTTTTACGTGATAATGTTTCGGTCTCTTTACTTTCAGGCGACATGTCTTCTTCGTTTACAACTTCAATTGACCTCTTTTTTCTTTTTTTTGCAATAGGTGCTGTTTTGTGTTTTTTACGGCCACGTATATCTTCATCTGACTCTTTCCTTTCAGGAAATATGTCGTCTACATCTTTTGCTGGTGACCTCTTTTCATGTAACCTTTTTTTAGTTTCTTTTAATAACCTTTTTTCTTTCTTTCGATCACGTGAGGCTTTCTTTGTTGCCGTATATTTCAAAGATTCATTTTTCGTCATCTTATTGTCTAAATACAAATTATTTTTACTATCAGAATCGTTAGATGTTTCTATGTTAATTTTCGAAAGTTTTTCATCATTTCCTTTAACGCCACGTGTCTTTTTTTTGGACTTTTTGCTTCTAGCACGTATATCTTTTGCATCTTCAATTGATTTTGTTTGTCCTGTTGTTGAGTCTTTCTTGGATTTCTTATTATAGCGTGATTTTTTTCTTTTTTTTTTACTGCTTAATTTCTTTTTTGTTTTAATGCCGGAATCATTGGATGTTTCTGATTTGTTAATTTTCGTCGTGGGATCATAGTCAGCAGCTGCTTCATCACAAATAGCCTGAAATCGTCGTGGCATCCAACAGTCATATTCTGGGAATTCACCTGCACAATTTGGATAAGGGCTTGATTGGTCCAAGCAATTAGGTACAGCATATTCAGGACAAGGAGGTAGTTCAATAAATATCTGCTCATATTGATCAAGTGGTATGCCTTCTAAATCGGATAATTTGTCTTCTAACTTGAGAGGTACTTCTTTTGTACTAATATCATCGAGCGAAATGTCGCTTTGCTCTTTGGAACTGGCATTATCATGTGCAATTTCGGCTTGCTCTTCGTATTTGGTACTATCTCGGGAAATTTCGCTCAGTTCTACAGTGCTGGTACTGTCAAGTGAACTAGTGCTCTGTTCTACAGGTTCTAATAAAATTTTCTTATAGTCGAGTGATGGGTCTATAAATTCTGCTGACGAAGTTTGTTCTTTCACCTTACTTGACTTTTTTGTTGCTTTATGTTGCTTAAAGTCCTCATTTTCAGTATATATGCCTTTGACATATACAGATTTAGTTGATCCCTTTTTTCTTTTTATTCCCTCTTTTAGTGATGACGTTTTACGGCCACTTAAATCGTCAGGAGACAAGTTTTCTATACTGCCAAGTTCAAATGACCCTTTTTTTCTTTTTGCTGATTTCTTAAGAGACGTCGTACCGTTCTTTTTACTGCGACGTGAATCTTTTTTTGACTCTTTACTTTCAGCACGTATGTGCTTTGCATCTATAGATTCAATTGATCCTCTTTCTCCTTTTGCAGCCTTCTTACGTGAGCCTTTTTTTGTTTTGTTACTGTAACGAGATTCGTTTTTGGTTATAGTACTGCTTAATTTTTTTTTTAACTTAGTACGAGCACTGTTAGATGTTTTTGATTCATTAGTTTTTGCCGTAATACCATAGTCAGCCACTGTTTCGCTCTGCTCTACAGAGCTGGTACTACAAAGCGAATTTTCGCTTTGCTTTTCCGACATGGTATTATCAATTAAAATTTCGCTCCGCTCTACAAGTCTGGTACTATTAAATGAACTTTCACTTTGCTTTTTCATTTCGATACTATCAAATGAAGCTTCGCTCTGCTCTACAGGGCTGATCCTATCAAGCGAACTTTGCTTTTCCGGCTTGGTCTTACCAGTTAATATTTCGCTTTGCTCTACAGGGGTGGTACTACCAAGTGAACTTTCGCTTTGCACTTTCGGCGGGGCAAAATCAATTAAAATTTTGCTCCGCTCTAAAGTATATAATTTGTCTTCTAGCTCGGGAGATACTTGGTGTGTTGTAGCACTGTCTGGAATGTCACTCTGCATTTCGAGGCTGGCACAATCAAATGAAATGTCACTTTCATCTTCGAGGCCGACACTATCCACTGAAACTTTGCTATTCTTTTCAGAAACTAAGATTTCCGTACTGTAGCACGATCTGTCCATAAGTTCAGCTGATATCGTCTGTATCACATTATGATAAAATGGTCGATTTTTTTCAATCTTATTTGACGTTTTCGAAGCGTTAAAATCACTTGGTTGGCTTATTATCTTCATTTCAGGTAGTATGTCTGCTGAGTCCACATGTTTTGTTGATATCGTTCTCAACGTCTTTTTTTCTTTTTTGTTCTGTTCCTTTTTCTCATTTTTATGTTTTTCTGTCTTTTGATTTTGATACGATATGTTATCTTCATCTACAAATTCAATTATTCTCTTTTTTCCTGCTATCACTTTATTAACTGATGTTTTTATGTCTTTTAGACGGTCATGTGAATCTTCAGTACTTGATCCTTTTCTTCTTGCTACCTTTTTAAGTGATGTTTTTTTTATTTTTTCACGTACAAGCATATTTTCAGAAGACATATCTTCTGTATCTACAAGTTCAATTGTCCCCTTTTCGCCAATTGTTGCCGTTTCAAGTAATATTTTTTTGTGATTTTTAATGTCTTGTGTATCTTTTTGTTTCTTTTCACTTTCAGGAGATACATATTTTGCATCTACAAGTTCACTTGTTTCCATTTCGCTTTTTGTTGCCGTTTTGAGAGATGTGTTATTTTCATTTTTATGATCATGTGTATCTTCTTGTATTTCTTCACTTTCAGGAGATACGTCTTCTATAACTTCATCCTCAACAGATTCTATACTTTTTTTTGTTGGGCTCTTAAATGACGCATTTCTGTTCTTCTTAGTACTATATGTATCTTCTTCTATCTTTTCACTTCCAGGGGATACGTCTTCAGCATCTCCATGTTTAATTGGTTGCTTGTTTTCTTTTGTTGGTCTCTTAATTGACGCTTTTTTGTCCATGTTGAGATCATGTGTATCTTTTTCTATGTTTTCATTATCAGAAGGTATGTTTTCTGTGTCTACAAGCGGTCCTTTAGTCCCGTTTGTTGATACTTTAATTGATACTTTTTTGACCGTCTTAGTTCCACTTAATTGTTGTTTTCGGTTTAAAATGCTTTTTTTTTTCTTGTCATTGGAATCATTGGATGTGTCTAGTTTCACAGTGTATCTTGTCATAACTTCTTCACCAGTTTCATTAGCATTTGCTGCAGCACGTTGCTTTGAGCTCTCGAGAATTTGCTTTATTCGTTCTGATTTCCAACAATATGGTCGTGTTGACATTTTGATGCAATCAGGCACTTCACATGTTTCACAATTGCAAGATCGTGACCCTGCACAAGCATCTTGCGATAAATCGTTTTCTGTGTCAGATAATTCTTGATCTGTAGGATGCGCTAATGTTTTCGTATCGTAATCGTAACATTCAGGTACGCATATTCCTTTCGAACAGTCGGGCTTAGCACCACTTTGTAAAGTGTTAAGAGCCCTTTTTCTTTCGAGCTCATGTTTTCTTATATTCGTACGATTGGTTTGTACTTTTTCGATCTCTTCATCTCTTAGCGATTGTTCTTGTTTGTCATCATGCACTTTATCACGCGATTTTTTTACAACATGATCAGATGAGACTGCTTTTTTTTCGGCACGATCATGTGATTCTAAATCTTCTGAATCATAACAATCAGGTACACATAATCCTCTCATACAGTCGGGTTTTTCAACACTTTGTGTATAGGAACGAGTATTTTTTCTCTCAAGATTATGTTTCCTTATCTTTGCACGATCACTTCGTATCTTTTGGTGTTTTTTATCTTTAAGTAATTGTTCTTGTGTGCCACGGTAACTTGGTTTGTTTTTCATCTCTTTATCATATGATTCTTTGACAATACGATCACATGAAACTCTTTCGACACGATCATGTGATTCTACATCTTTTGAATCATAACAATCGGGTACGCATAATCCTCTCATACAGTCGGGTTTTTCATTATTTTGTGCTTTGGTACGAGTACTTTTACTCTCTATACCAAGTTTCTTTATTTTTGCACGATTATTTCGTATTTTTTGGACTTTCTTATCCGTAAGGGATTGTTTGTTTTTGTTGACATTGTAATACGGTTCTTTCTTCACCTCTTCTACATCACGATAACTTGAAACTCTTTCCCTTTCGACGTGATCATGTAATTCACATATTTCACAATTGCAAGATCGTGACCTTGCACAGGCATTTTGCGATAAATCGTTTTCTGTGTCAAATAATTCTTGTTCCGTAGGATGCGTTAATGTTTTGTGTACCTTGATATTATCTAATTCTCTCTGTGATTTAGGTGGATGTAAACTTGTTGCGGAAATACTTTTTCCATCCTGTGTTAAATTTTGAGTTTCCACTTCAGATGATATGCTTCGTGTTTTATTAAGATCAAGCAACTTTGTTATCCGTTCATTGTTGGATGATTCTTCTTCTTCGTCAGTATCTTTAGAAGGTTTGATTTCCCGTGATTTAACATTTTTGAAATCGTAACATTCAGGTACGCATATTCCTTTCCAACAGTCGGGCTTATCACCACTTTGTAAAGTATTAAGAGCCCTTTTTCTTTCGAGCTCATATTTTCTTATATTCGTACGATTGGTTTGTATTTTTTCGATCTCTTCATTTCTTAGCGATTGTTCTTGTTTGTCATCATGCTCTTTATCACGCGATTTTTTTACAACATGGTCACGTGAGACTGCTTTTCTTTCGGCACGATCATGTGATTCTAAATCTTCTGAATCATAACAATCAGGTACACATAATCCTCTCATACAGTCGGGTTTTTCATCATTTCGTGCTTTGGTACGAGTACTTTTACTCTCAATATCATGTTTCTTAATTTTTGCACGATTATTTCGTATTTTTTGGACTTTTTTATCTGTAAGCGATTGTTTTTTTTTGTCGTCATTGTAATACGGGTCGGTTTTCACCTCTTCTACATCACGATAACGTGAGACTCTTTTCCTTTTGACATAAGCATGTGATTCTAAATCTTTTAGATCATAACAATCAGGTACGCATAATGCTGTCATACAGTCGGGTTTTTCATAACTTTGTGTATTGATACGAGCATTTTTCCTCTCAAGATCATATTTTTTTATTTTCGTACAATCACTTCGTTTGTTCAACTTCGCATCACTAATTGATGCTTTGTTCCCATCACGATCAAGTAAAATCTCTTCTATATCGTTATGACCACGGTCCTTTGTTATTTCAGTATGGAACCGTGATTTTTTAAGTTTTGTATGACTCCGCGAGGATTGATTTTCCATCACACTCCTAACTGTAACCGTCGGTGAAATACTTGGACTCGAAAGATATTCTCGTTTTGCCATAAGATTATCCGGTGATGTCATTGCTCCATCTTCTACTTTTTTATAAACCCACTTTCGTGCGCATGGTACCATAAAATGATTGTCTATATTATCGGTCGTATTGTTTTCAGCTTCATTATTATCCTGTGAGATGCTTTCTCTTGTATCGTTATCCAGAAAATTTCGTGGTGTTTTTTTTTGTTTCAAATGTAATAAATTATTTTCTAACTTAGGCGATGGTGATTTTATTACTTTAATTATATATTTTGATCCATGACACGCTGCTGAACTCCCTCTCCCAATACGTTTAGATGGCCTGTTATTTTTTTCGATACGACCTTCTAATTCATGAGTATTTTTAGATAAATATTTAGTTGCCTGATTCGCTTGCTCGGCTTTAACCTTACCTTTAAGATCGCGACAGCAAATTCGTGGGCCTTTTAGTTTGCATAAACTTGATATTTCACTGGGTCCATACAAAAAATCACGTAAATACTTTAGAAATGATTCACTGAGCTTAGAAAGGTTTAGTTTACATTGACCATCGCTATTTATTTCTCTTTTCTCTTTTGTGCCTGCCTTGATTTCGTTATCATCATTTTCTTCACGTTGGGAGTCATCATGCTGTTCCTGTCTTCGTTTTTTACCGCATGAGCAAATTCTTTTTAAAAAGTGTTTTTGTGACGTCTTGCTAACAAGGCAGTCTTCTGATACCGAGTTTACTAATTCCTTTTTAAGCGAGTATTTTTTCTCATTTTCGTTTGTTGTTTTTGTAACAGTTGATGATGTGCTTTGTGTTCTTTGTAAGAGGTGTTTTTGTGAGCCTATGCTGTGTGTTAGCATATTTGCTAGCGATCCTTTTTGGATCTCGCAATTTTTCACCCTTTTAGGTACCCTACCTTTTAAGTAGCTTTTAGGTAGGTTGTTCACTTTTTCGCCCGAAAATACATCAGGCCATTTTTCTTTATAACTACTGATTATCGATTTACTTTTCTCTGAATTTAAATCAATTTTTGTTTTAAGGCAACCGAAACTTGAGGAAATACTACTTTTTTTTTCGCTGGGATGAATAAAACGATGACGGCAGATATTTTGTTTTGACGAAGTGTCATAAGCAGGGCATATCTGAGCTTTACCAGTCTGTTCTTTTCTTACGGTTTTTGATAGAATTTGAGTTTTTTCTTTGGTCTTATTGATGGGAGTTTCTTCTCTATGGAGGACAGGAAATTTCTTTTTACATTTACGTAAAGCTTTCTCACTACTTTCAGGAGGTCTTTCTATAGAATGAGAAGAAGATTTTTCCCCGGTGGTGCTACGAATCATTTGCCTTGAAGTCTTTTTTCTAGGTCTGCCAGCAATTTTGTTTGAAGTACCAACAGTACTGATATCTCTAATGACGATGAGAGCCTTGTCTCTAGTACAGATGGGAATTTTCTCATCAGAAAAAGTAATTATCTGTCCAGGACAAAAACAATTTTTAGTGCTAGTAGCCATGGCAGCCTTCTCGGGATGAGTAACAAGTGTCTTCTCTTCAGAATCAAGGAGGTTTATTTCTTCAAAACTCACTGGTCTTATAATTCTAGGACAGATAGAAACCTCTGCCCTAGTATCAAGGTGGTTTTCCTCTCTAGGAGTGATAAGTAATGTCTGTTTCTTAGAACTATCAGCTGTACTATTTCTAGTAGTGACTGGTGTCTTATCTCTAGTTTTTACAGGAGACCTATCTCCGGTAGTATTGGGGGTCTTCACTCCAGAACTGCTGGCTTTAGGTATGCCAGAACTGTCTTCTTTACCATCAGAAGCCATTGAAATTTTTGTCTTCGAGTCATCAGTTGCTACATGTTTACTTTTTTCTATTAGAATCATTTTAGTCTTATCTTCAGGAATAAGAGATTCTATGCTGCTCTCTTCTTTGGCGCTTAGGGAAGGTATTTGCGCAAAGTCCCCGACTTCGTGTTGATTTTCTGAATCTTTTGCTGCCAGCGGCTTACTTTTAGTTTCAATGGGAATTTCATCTACATCTGATAAATTTGTAGGATTTTCTTGGGTAATTATTTGAAAATCCGGAATATCTGATGCACTCTGGGCAATACCCGAATTAGTTTCTTTTTTTTCTCGTGATTCGTATTGAATACTGGAAATATCTTCGTCTTTAGATATTCTCAGTGACATCAGTGTTTTGCGTTCCATGTAAATTTTTTCAGCTACTCTGTTGAAATCATTGCATAGTTTTTCGACTTCATCTTTATTTGTATTTCCCGTCACGTCTGCTGTACGTTTGAGTTGACAACAAAGTTCATTTATAATTTTTTTAACAGCTTTCAGTTTCTCATCAGTAATCATCACAGAAATATCCTGTTCAATAGGACGGCCTGGTCTATCAGAATTAAACGTCCGGGATAAAGTGCAATTTTTTTCAGCTAGTTCGTTAAGTTTTACACATTCATCGTCAGTATCAGCACAAATTTTCTGTGCAGCAGTTGAATCTTGGTAAGTTTCAAAAATACTTTTGACAATTTTTGGAGTGAATTCAGTCTTCCCTTCAAAACTAGGGCTCGATTTAGATACAAATGTTTGTTTCAGAGATGTATCTGCAGCCGTCTCTTTAGCAGACTGTATCGAACTCTTTGAAAATTTTACAGGCATATTTGTGGATGTTTTTTCTAAATGCATTTCCGTTCGTCTTTTTATACAATCAATGTAAAGTTCTTTCAAAAAACGTTTAAGCATAACGCAAATTTTTTCTAATTGTTCTTGGGTCTCCGGGCTAGATTGCGAAGCTGATGATTTAAGACAACTACAAATACCATCTATAGACTTGTCAATAATCGACAATAAATTAGCCGTTTTTCGGCTATCTTCAGAGGACACATCAGGATGACCCATATCTTTCCCTTCTTCTTTAAGAGACGTTATGAGTTTTTCTTTTCCATCCGACATTTTTGTTGATATTCTAGATTTAATCGGCATCTTAAGAGATGATTGATCACTCAGCTTTTTCTTATGTCTAGCTAATATTTTCTCTTTTAATTCTTTTTCAAA